CCAGGAAAAGGACGTTAACACAGTACCGCTAGCCAGACTAAGGGCCTCAGATCTCGGCAGTTTTCACATGCACTAATTGTTTTGCATGAATTTATGTATATGATTTTATGGCATTTCATCTCATGTATAAATTCATGTAACCACTAACACCTCCCTAATCAAGATCACAGTATGTTTTCCAAAGTCTGTTGGTATTTAAAACAATTTGGGAAAACAGTTCACAAAAAGAGCAAGAGTAAAACTAAATGTCACTACAATGATATGACAGAAGGCTGAATGATCAATATAACTGCTAAATCTTCAGTGCATTCCCAGGGACATTTTCTCAGTTACTTTGGAAATGTATTATTTTTGTGAACATCTGCCTGGTGAGCCCAGGAATTTATTAAGTCCCTACCGTTTAGCAAACATTTCAGACAGCATGGGCAGACAGGCTTCAGCTCACATGCGTCTCTTATTGGATTATACTGGCTGCCTACAGGGTCACAGTGAGGAGAATCCAGAGGCCGCATCTGGGCCTAGTGAGAGACAGCAGCTGCCTCACAGGGCAGTGGCACCGGGGTGTGTGCCAGGTGACTGTCATCTCCAAAGTTTCTGTGACTTTGTGAGCCACACAGTGGTCTGGGGACTGGAAAAAAGGGGTCAAGAAGCACAACCCCTGTCCCCAAGGAGCTCCTAATTGGGAAGGGGAGGGGAACATGCTGACCCAAGCCTGGGACACAGAATGCTACACACTCGAGGCCGACAGCCAGCCAGCCCCCTCTGGTCTGCTCCAGGCAGCCAAACAAGGGCAGCAGTGAGGGCTGGGGTTCAGACCTGTGTGCTGTGGAGACCACCACAGGGCAGGGGGCGGGTCTGGGGGGGGTGCAAATCCAGGGTCAGAGACAAACAAGAGTCTACTAGCTGCTCATGGAGCACATTGTAGCCTAGGTTAGAAGCCAGACTCTGGGGCCTGACTCCCTGCATTTCAATCCTACTGGAACCTTTTAGTCTGTGCTGTAGTCAAGTATCAAATGAGTATGATAATAATGCACACATCATAGGGATTAAATGAGTTAACAATTACACACAGCACTTGAAACAGTGCCCAGTATTTAGCAAACACCATGTTGTAAGTGCCATCATTCATTTAGTTTTTTACAGTCTATGGTACTGAAAACTTTTAAATGTATTTTTTTTTGTTTGTTTGTTTTTTTGAGATGGGGTCTCCCTAATGGTTCAGGTTGGCCTTGAAGTCCTACAATTCTCCTACCGCAGCCTCCCGAGTGCTGGGACTACAGGTGTGTACCACCACACCTGGCTAAATGCATTCTTTTTATCATCAGAAAAATGAATAAAGATTAAAAAAAGGAAATACTATGGTTTCTAAACTGAACCATGAATCTGTAGAAATGGGCAAATCAAATAGAACATTTTGGAATAATTTTAGTACCCAATGTTCCTTGGCCTCTTTAGAGGCTCTCAGATCCCTTCCTTCCATCTACTTTCACTGCCTTTCTCCCCTGCCCTGCCCTTCACTAGCCTCTCCTTTCTCCTGCCTGCACACTGGACCCCATCCCTTTGCTCACAGTGCATGTTCCTACCCAGAGCACCCCTGCCCCGTTCTCCCCTTTCCCATCCCAGCTCACTTCCCATTTCCTCTCAAAGGCCTTCTCAACCTTGTGGTGCACAAGGCTCTCTCCGGGCCATCTATTCGCAGCACTTACAGTAAAGACCCAGCTCTGGTTTGAAGGTGACCCTTAAATATCACATTCTGGAAACTTAATCCCCAATACAACAGGGCCCACAGGAGGTGACTGCCTTTAAGGATAAACTGATGTTATTATTACAGCAATGGGTTATTATAAAAGCAGGTTTGGCCCCTCGGCCCTTACTCAATGTGGGGCCTTGATCTTGAAGTGCCCAGCCTGCAGAACTGTGAGCCAAATAACCTTCTGTTGTTTATAAATTACCCAGTCCATAGCATTCTTTTAAAGCAACACAAAACAGACTAAGACATACGTGATTTAACTGATAGTAGGTCCCCCTGTCTCATAACAGCTCTTGCAGTATTATTTTTTTACTATCCTTTTATATAACTCATGAATTATGTGAAATTTCTGTGGATAAGTCAGGCCAAAAAGATTAATTTTTAATTGTGAGACTGACAGATCTTGTCTCTGCAATTATACAGCAGGCTTCCTGAACGTGGAACAGTGTTTTAAGCTTCCTTGTTTCCCAGGGACTCAACCAGTGCTAGGCACAAGTGGGTAGACAGTAAGTCCAACTCTTTTCTATTTCAGTGGAATGGCTCAAAGTCATAGCACACCTACATACGGGTCCCACTGACGACAGATGGTCCTCAGTGTACAATGGCTGACCTGATTATTCAACTGTAGGATGGTGTGCATGTACACACATACAACCACTCTGTTCTTCACTTTCAGCACAGTGTTTAATACATTATATAAAGTAGTCAATACCTTACTATAAAACAGGCTTTGTGGCAGATGATTCTGTCCACCGATCCAAACATCCAATCCAAATGTGTTATAGATGTTTAAGGTAGGCCAGGGTTAAGATAAGCTATAATGTTTGATCAGTTAGGTGTATTAAGTACAGTTCTGACTTATGATATTTTCAACTTATGGTGGGTTTATTGGGACATCATCCATGGTAAATCAAAGAGCATTTATACTCTCCACAGCCTATAGCTCAGGAAAAAGGTGCTTTTTGGTTTTTTTTGGTACCGGGGATCAAATTGGGTCCTTGCACTTGCGCAGCAGGCGGCGAAACCACTGAGCTAAATCCCCAGCTGGAAAAGGTGCTTTTTACCAAGTGACCCTCAGAACTGAACACAAGGGTACAGACTTGGATGTCAGCACTAGCGCTTTTCTCTTCCTAGTTTCTCCTGTGTGTTCATTTAGCAAAAAGCTGTTTATTACCTGCTTACTGTTACTGCTCTGGCCAGGGCTGGGCATTTACCCAATCTTATTTACCTTACCACAACCTCCTAGGTAGATATCTTGTACGAAGAGGTTAACTAACTGGGCCAAGTTGTAGTTAGCAAACTGCAGCCCTAGGATTTGGACCTTGCAGGGCATGGGCACAAAGTCTTGGTTCTTGCCACGTGGTCAGGTTATCTTTCTGGTGCCGAGTGTCTACCTGAGAGAGGCAGAAGTTAACGAATGACCCAAAGATCTGCAGTTCTGGAGAACACAACAGAACTGTCCTGGACCACACAGAGGCATAAACCAATGGCGGCACCATTTTGTTAAAGAGGTGTCGGAACAATTCAAAGTTGATATGGCCAAAGTGTCTGAAGCTTTCTGGAGGGGAGAAATGATCTCAGTCATCATCTTAACTAATGTTTGGAAAGAAGGCTCCAAGCCCTTTCTTCTTTCAGGGATGTGGAATCCAGACATTCAGTTAAATTCCCAAGGCCTTCGTAACTGAAGTACCTCATGAGGGTTCTGAGGTCCAGTAGGCCATTATAGCCATCTCTCTGAACTTCCTCCCCCGGCTGGGCTCGGCTGCTACACTGATAGAAATAAGAGAGTTTTATAAATAACCAGGTCTCTTTGCTGACCCAGGAGAGTTGGGCCAAGAGACTCTGTACTCTGTAATAATAGAGCCAGCCAGGTCTGCTCTAATAGTCCCAGCCATCACTGCATGTCACATAGAGGCTGGCAGAAACTGTTCCTGTTGAATACCAGTCTATGAAAGACACCACCCCCCATCAAATCCTCTTCCAGAATGAGTTAAGGATGCTACAACCACCTACTTCCCCATATGTTCAAGTTACTCATCTCTAAGTGTAAAGACAGAAAAAAGAATTTTAATAAAACCTCATGTTGTAGCAATAGTGAGGCAGTGTCTTCAGTATTTTCTTGGTTATCCTACTAAGATACTGTTTCAATTAATGGAGTTGGAATACAACATCTCTGCATCTTTGAGAGAGCTGTCTAAAGAGGCCCAGCAGCTACAAGATTTGAATGGAGGTAGAGGCCAAGAGGGCACCACTGCTAATTTTTAACCTTCTCATTCTCTTTTAATTGGGAGTCCCTGCATGTTCACTGGCACAATCAGGTCTACTTGCAAAGGCTTTTCCCCGAGAGGAGGGGGTAATCTTGGCGGCAGTGCCACCGTCTGCACAGATCCCTGCATCAGCGAATACTGCTTGGTGACAGGCGGCTCTCTCTCAGTGGTGGCAAGAAAAGTGGCTTGGTGACTTTGCCTGGCCCAAGTGGGGAGCAATGGAGAAGACTCCTGGCCCCAGTGCCCAGCTGTGGGCATGGCACTTTGCTTTGTGATCCAAAGAGCAGAGGGGTTGCCCCCCTGCTGTCGCCTGCCACCAAGCAGCTCCTGCCCCTCCTCTCCTAGGAGAGAGCGAGTGAGAGGAAGCCCACAGCATTCACAGCGCAGAGCAGCATCTTCAGAGAGCGAGCCTGCCTTCTCTACTCGAGAGCAAAAGGGGCCCTGACAACTGGGGTCTCAACCAGGAAATGCACGGGAGGGCACAGTCCAGGGAGACATAAAAAATAATAAAAAGAAAAATGCAAGGAAAGAAAAAGAAAAAAAATGCACAAAGCCCACAAGGCTGGCTGGTTAGCCATGGGTAGAATCAGGCCTAGAGCACCATCCGGTCACCCAGTGTCTCGGCAGAACCAAAACCCCAGGGTAAAAGACATTTCTATTTGTGGAAATAGGATGTTTCCTTCTTTCACCACTTATTATCTCTCTCTCATTTCTTTAGTTTTGGCCGGTCTGTCAGCCAAAGTTGGACTGTCCATCACTTTGTCCTGTCCAACCCTTTCATCTTTCCAGAGTCAAAGAACAACAAATATGGGATCCAGAGGGCCCTCTTCCCCAGCCTGTTCCCAGCAGCCCGTCTCTCCCAGGGTTCCAGGGTGCTCAGAGCAGACACTGTCAGCACGACATGCCGCACACAGCAAGTCACCAAACCACACTGCGTTCAAGGGTTCAAGGCCTTCGGGGAGGGCCAGGGGGCGGGGACTTACTTGTACTTGTGCTGGTTCCAATCGTGTTGATGGTGGTGGGGACAGAGGAGGAGGAGTAGAGGGGCACATGGCCATTCTCACACCCCAGGCTTTTGTCCTGCCAGTTGGAGGCGTTGATGCAAATCCCAGAGTCCCGAGAGTTCTGCCACCCATTGAGCTTGTCGTCGGAGTTCTGTCTTTGGTGATAGTAGTGTGACTGCCCGTAATCCACAGAGTCCGAACGGCCTCGGTTCTGGCTGCTGCTGAAGCTGGTGGACGTGCGGTCCTCCAGGTGATTCAACCACATGGCCAGGGCGCTGCGATCTTCCAGCGAAGTGGCTGGGTGGATCAGAGCATAGGACAGCAGCTGCCTGCTCTCCTCGATGTGCTGGTTGTGCTCGATGGAGTGTGCCAGGATCTTGGGCAGCAGCTTCATATACTCTACTTTCGCATCGAGGTTTCCTGGCTTCAGCAAAGGCAGGTGAGTTAACAGGAGGGAAATCACTTTATCCTTGGATTCTTGTTGCCACTGGTTAATGATTCCTGAAAAGGAAAATACCAAGGGCGAATGAGCAAACACACCCACAATGACCCTAAACACTGCACTCTAAGTTTAGGGAATCTGTGGATTAGAGGCCCAGCCCACGGACCCTGGCTAAATTTTCTCAAAACACCCTATGCCTTACATCGGTTAACTCATCTCAGGGTTTTAAGGTCTGAGGACTTCAATGAAACATAGATCAAAAGTTCTTAGATGTTTGGATCCTTCATCTAATTCTCATTCAGGTCTTCAAAGAGGCTACATCTACTTCCATCCAGCCAAACAGAGTTTCAAGTCCTGCTTTGCCTCTTGGGAAAGTCTCACCCCAATCCTACAGACAGAGGCTAAAACTAAGAAACTCTCCATGGAACAGCCAGCATGGTCATGGGTCCATGTACCAAAGTCTTGGGGTGAGGCTGTCTCCCCATCAAGACAGCTGTTGAGAAGCCCTTAAAATACCAACAAAGGGGTTTGTATGAAACTGGTAAAACTGCCCACGTGGAGAAATCTGTCAGGAAAAAAGGATCCCCCCCGCTCTGGTCTCTGTGCAGTGAGTCTGCACCTTTCTCATGTGACGGGGATTGAGAAAAAGGACCAGGGCCTCAAGGCTGAAAGAGCAATGGATCTGGGCCTTGGTTCCCAGGAATCCTCTCATCGAATGTGTGAAGTAGGCTCTTTCCCTTTAGCGAGGATCTGTTTCTGTTTAGTAAAATATATGTAATAATAACCATTTAAAGTGTACAGCTCAGGGTCATTGAGTGCATTTACTGAGAACATGCTTCTGTCTCCAGAACTCTGCTACCACCCCAACGAGAAACTCTGTCCCCACTGACAGAACTCCCACCCTCCCATGTCCCCCACCTCTGCCAAGCCGCCATGTTGGTTTCTGGCTCTAGGAACTGACTAGGGTAGGTACTGCAGATGAATGGAATCAGAGTATTTGTCCCTGTGACTGCCTTACTTCACCAACTGTAATGTCCTCAAGGCCCATCCGTGTGGACATCACACACTCACAAGGATCCCTTCTGTCCCCTCTCATAAAAACATAAACAATGAACTTTGCTTATTGGCCTCTGAGAAGTGGCTTGTCGTAGAACGCAATGGTTCTACAAAGGGCCGGGCAGGCTTTCAAGCAGTATCTGCAGGGCTGCAAGGGGTTCCCATGACCAAAAAGTACAAATGCTACTGGGAGGTGGTGGGAACCCTGAAGAGGTGGGGGCCTCGTAGGTGATTTTCTGGTCAAGGAGCCATGCCCTTGATTGAGAGAGATGGGGGAACCACTTCTTCTTTTTCCCCCCTCTCTTTGTTTCTTGGCTGCTAGGCCCCCAAACAGTAAGCCCAACTGACATGGATGGAAACCTCCCAAACCAGGAGCCAAAAGAAACCTTTCCTCTTTTGAAGTTGATTATCTCTGGTATTTTGTTACAGTAATGGAATGCAGACAAACACAACTGACAAGGAAGGGATGGTGTCTGATGAAGGAGCACGGGTTCTGAAGTCAGGCAAACCTGGGCACAAATCCCAGGAATGCCACTTAATTTGTGGTCAATTACATCACCTCTCAGAGCCTCAACTGCCTCATCAGTCACGGGTGGTCCGAACAGCATCTGCCTCTCCTAATGCTCTTGGATTAAATGAGATCAAAGTAGGAAAAGGACTGACTAGGTGGTTGATGGTGGAAGTGATTCCTTCTGTTCATCTCTGCTGACCCACATGAAAGTGATGTGAGTGGGTTTGGATCCCAAGTTTCAAAAATAATACAGAGAGACTAGAGACAACTCAGGGGAAATCATTAAAAAGAGACCAAACTGGAAGAGGAGGAGAGAGGAAAAAAGTGAAAGAAAATGGGGTTATCAAGAGTATAACAACGTGGGGAGATGCTTGGCTATCTTCAAGTGGGGTTTCATGAGGGGTTGCTAAAGAGTCAACAGGGTGGAGGGAAAGTCACCAGGTTGAAACGGGGGATGTCAGAACAGGATGTGGGGAAGAACTGGACTGTCAGAACCAGGGGAGCTTCGAGGGTCACCAAGGGAGGCTCCAGATCCGTCTCCCAGGTGATCAAGAGCAGCCCAGTTCAGCAGCCACATGTGAGCCACCTGTGGAATTTTAAGCTTTCTAGTAAACTACATCAAAGAAGAGTAAAATTAATGCAGCCAACTTAATTTTAATGCTATATTGGATTTAACCCAATATATCAAAATATCATTTCAACATGGAATCAATATACAATTATTAGGGAGACATTTTGCCTTCTTTGGTTTCCTGTTATGTCTTTGAGACCCAGTGTGCATTTCCCCACCGGACTGGCCATGGCTGCAGTGGCTGGAAGCCACATGTGGCTGGTGACTCCTGGGCTGGCCAGCACAGGCTGAAGACATTCAGATGAGGAAGGCGGGCGGGAACACATGACCTCAGAGGTCCCTCCCCATACCAGACTCTATATTTAGCTAACTGCCACTTGACACAAGACAACCCTCGTGCGCTCCACTAGGTATGGCCTCCTTGGAGATAAAGCAAACACCAGGCCTGCCATCCTCATACATGTGCTGTTGACGCACACCAAGTGCACTTTAATTAAGGGATAGGCTTAGGAGGAAGATGCAGTCTATTCAGTGAGCCCGAGAATCTCAAGAGGCTCCGGAAACAAGCACAGCAGAGGGGAAGGAAAACACTGGCCCTGGTCTCTTCCAGGGCTGAAAGGGCTTCCTCTTTGGGAAGAAGTGAGGCTGCATTCTGAGACTACCACTGGCTAAGTCAAACTCTTCCTGCTACTGCTGCTGCTGCCACCACCAAAGCAAGCGGCAGTGAGTGTCCTCTATGTGCTGCGCACTCTCTGAAGCGCTGTGCGTTTAATAGCTCATTCAATCCTCCCAAGAAGCTTGTGAGGCAGGGGCTGGCGCCAGCCTTACTTCACAGATGAGGGCAGAGAGCCCCAGACAGGGCAAGTTGCTCACCCAAGGTCCCCCGGCTAGCAGGCGGCAGATTAGCTTAAAGACACCTAATGATTACATGCTAATGGCTTGGCCATAAGCTAAATGTATTAGCATTTATAATATATAGTTATATCTAAAATGTGTGTGAATATGTAATAGTTGTAAATATAGTAATATAAAAATATTACTGGAGTACGTGGATCCACAGAGGAGTTGGCCAGCCTTGGAAATGTAGAAAAAAAGAAAATTATAGAGACACTATCAAGCTTGTCCAATCTGCGACCTAAGGAATGCTTGTTCTCTTTTTAAAATATTACTATAAAAATACATATACACTATATACTTGATATGCAGCCCAAGACAACTCCTCTTCACCAGAACAGATCAGGCAAGCCAAATGGTTGGACACCCACGATTACATTATACTTTTGATGGTTTCAAAATATGCCCACAATTGCTTTGGCACTCATCTCTTTGAAAGGTACAAGCTAATTCCTTTTTTTCTTTTCTTTTGGCAAGGCAGGGCCTCATGCATGCTACATAAGCGCACCGCCACTGAGCTCCCGCCCCAGCTCCATCCTCTTCCTGTGAGTGCAGGTTGGACTTACTGGGTCATTTCCAGCACAGAGAGCATGATGGGAATGGCAGTGTGTAACTGCATGGATTGGGCCATAAAAGGCTCTGCAGCTTCTGCCTTGCTCTCTCTCGGATCACTCCCTGTGGGGGAAGCCAGCTGCCATGTTGACAGGGGGACCAAGCAGCCCGATGGTGACCAACCAAGGCCTCCTGCCTACAGCCAGCACCAACCTGCAAGCCCCATGAGGAAGCCTCGGTGGAAGATCTTTAGCCCTCAGAAGTCTTCAGATGACAGTGGCCCTAGAGAAGATGTTGAGGGCCCGAGCCAGAATCACTCACATTTCTGATCCACAGAAACTGCATGTGATTATGTACTTACTGTGTTCAGCTGCTAAATTCTAAGTAATCTGTTATTCGGCCTAAGATAACAAAGACACTACCAAGAGCCCCTCTAGGAAGAAGGAAGTTGTAGCCATCTAGCTCTGAGTAGTTTGGTCCTTCTGGCAGAGTCCTTCCATCTGGAGACAGAGCCAGGAAGCTGACCTCTTGGCACTGAACAGTCCCCTCACTCAGTCTCCCTGTCCTGGTGACTCAACCTTCAGACCTGGGTGCGGGAATGAGCTGACAGCCAGAGTTGACCACTCCAGATTCCACAGTGGTGGTTCTTCAGGGCTACTTAATAAATGATTTCTGATTATGAGTTGGCTTCCTGTGGCAGAGCATGTGCCGAGTATGTGGACTCGAACCATGTCTGGTCTCTGATGTTAGCTCCTTGTGGCAAATTAGCAAGCCAGACCTTCTTGCTTTCTAGTTAGCATGGAGCCAGTCTTTCAGGATGAGCTGTCCCTGGGCACTGCCGAGTGAGACATTGCCACTTCCAAACAGAAGCCAGATCCTCCATGTGGGACTTGGGACATGACGGCTGGGTTGGGCCACACACCCACCCACTGGCTGTCTTTGTTGTATGGAATCTTTGACGAGATTTCTCTTCCTTAGAGAAGATTCAGAAATCCTTACACTTATCAAACAATCGATCACTTCTAAGATGCAGTCTCTACCATCACCTACCCCAGTATCACCTCTTCAGGAAATAACACGAAAAACTGAAGTCCTAAACCTGTAAGGTTTGATGACACCAACTTGTGTCTATTACATTTGTGCAATAGTTTACTTCTTGGGACAAGAATCAGGGATTAAGAGTTTGTTGGATATGTAATGTGGGAAGAATTTAATGATTTATAATTTGTAAACCAGTGACACAGGAATAGTAAAAGAAAAATTAAAAGAGCTATAATTAAAGACTGTGAGGATCAGAAAACTGTGCCAGTGATTCTTGGAGTGACACAGAGTGTGTTTAAATATCAAGTCTGGTATTATTACTCCACAATGGTGTGTCAATGTTTCAGGGCTCCAGTTGTTAGTAAATTACCCTTAAATTGCTATTTTATTATACCCTTGTTTTCAGTTTAATAACATTTACCATAAAAGGGTTT